GCACCCCCGGGGACAGGGTCTGCTTTCCTGCCATAGGCAGCTGGAACATGTGGGCATCAGGCAGCCCGCTGGGAAATTCAGTTCCTCCAGGGGCTACAATTTCCCCTTTGCCCTCTGCCTCCCTAAAGAAGAGACTTCCCCACGGGGTGAACAGTGATGCTGTCTGCTCAGGATACTGTACAGCTGAAGGAAACTAAGGGTTTGGTGCTTCCAGCTTTATTAACATAGAGCCATTTTCCCAAGAAGAGTTGCACATCTGCGTGTCCACCTGCCTTAGCAGCACCAGCAGCACAGTGCTTGCCAGGTGGGTCTTGATCTTGGCCAATTCCTTGGATTCTTCAGGATTAAAATGGTTTGAGCTGCCAGGGACCAAATGGAGTCATTGCTGCTTCTCCACAAGGTTCAAAGGGCTGTGACCAGAAGAAACAGAGGCAAGATGAAGAAGCAGAGACCCCTAGGCCTCCCCTCCAGACCATGATCTATACTCACTGTTGCAGATCTCAGCCAGCTTCTCCTCGCTTTGGTCCCTCAGGGGCTGTGCAACAAGCCCTAGGCACAGAGCTTCATCAGACCCCCTGCTCCCCAGCAAGCTCCCAGCAGCAGAGCCCCTGGCGCTGAGGGCTGGGCTGCACACCCTCCTTCCCCTCCTCAGAGCTGACCCCAGGGAAGGCCAGTGGCCAAGGGAGCAGGGACTGAGCAAGGGGGCATCCAAAGACATCTGCGTGGGCAGGGGTGGGAGAGGGAGGCCAAGACCCTGCACCAGGGCTCCGGCAGGCACAGGCCTGTTCCTTGCCACCAGTGCAGCAGCTGGAAATGGGGCCAGGCTGCCAAAAGAGGCACCCTGGTGGCTGTGGCTCACCCATGAGCCTCATGGCCTCCTCTTGTATGCTGTCCTGAGCATTCTTGAGGTATGGCAGGCTCTGATTCAAGTATTCTTCAGCCCTGCTCCTCTCCTGCACCAGCTGGAGAGAGCACAAGGGTATGGGCATGTCACAGAGCCTCCCCAGTTGGTTGGAGCAGTCCCTCCTCCCAGCACCTCTGCTGGCTGAGACCCCTCCCTCCCACTGGGGTGGAGAAGAGCCCCTGGGGACTCCGTTCTTGAGGACAGGCAACTAGGGTGCAGCTCCAGGCTGTGGGCTCTGGGCTGGAGCAGTACAGGTGAGGCACAGCTGCAGAGCCCACAATCCCAGACACAGGGGGCAGCCCTCATCCAGCCTGGGCCCTGGGGCTTGGGGGTTGTCCTCACCAAGCACTCTCCAATCCTCCTTGGCTGCTCTGTCTGTTTGAGCTGTTTCCACTTGAGGAGCTCTGCTGCAGCAAGGAGGGCTTCTCTGGAGGCCTGCAGAACAGCAGAAGCTGGGAGATGGCACCATGGCCTGGGGAAGGACACCTGGCATCCCCTTCCTCCTGCCTTTGTGCCTGGAGTGATCTGGCCCCTAGGAAGCTGGGACATGCCCAGCCCAAATGTCTGGAGGCTTCTTGCCTGCAGCACTGCTTAGCTTTGAAATCTGTACCTGGGCCACACTCTGCTTGTGGTCACTCATGCGAAAGAACAGTGGGACCAGAGCCATTTGCACTTTGTTCTTCATGTGTGTCTTGTCCCTCCCCACTGCAGTCTGCATCAGGTCTCTGAAGAAGCTGATGGAGAGCTCTCTCAGCTGACTGAACTCCTGGTAGGGAGAAGCAGAATGGGGCTTCAGCAACAGTAGCTCTCTGCCCACGGCAAGCAGAAGTGTTAGCATGGCTAATGTGAGGGGAGATACTCCAAGGTCAGATTCTGCACACTGTGGGCCAGATCTGGAGCCGCATGGAGCTGAATGGCCCCAGGCTCATGAAAGTCCCCTCAAGAGATTGTCTCAAAGTGCTCTCCCAGCCACCCACCATTCCTCACCAGCTGCACCAGCCATGTTAGAGAAGAGGTCCCCACAGATGGGCTGAAAAGGAGAGCAGGCTGATCCTTGGAAATGGTGCTGGGGCATCCACCACTGGCTCAGCCTCAGCCCCTCTTCATGGTGTCTGGGGAGAACATCTGGGCCTGCCCTGCAGCACAGCTGGGGCAGCCCTTGGGGCTCTGAGAGCAGCTGTCGGGGAAAAGCTGGGCTAGGCTGCAGAACCAGAAGCCATCCCACAAGGGCCCAGGTGGGAAAGGACAGGAGAAGCCCCTGCTCGAGTGGTGCTGACAGGGGTGCACTGAAGGGCAGCTGTCTTTGCCCAGTGCCCATGTGCAGGGCTCAGGCTCCCCCATCAGCCTTACATTGTCAAAGAGGGGCTGGAGCTGCTTCGCCAGCCGCACAGTGATGGCAGGCCTCCAGCTTCTCCAGGTGACCCATCATGTTTTGCAAGAGCTCCAGGGCTTTCATCTTGGTATCTTCATTGCCATCCTGCAGGACATGCATTATGTGTGGCAGAAGGACCTGCATTTTTCTTGCCTGTAGGAAAGATAAGAGTTTCCATTTGGTGAACAGGTGCACCCCCGGCAAGCTGCCCCAGCAGCCACCAGGCCCCAGCATGGCAGGGAGGACATTTGGAGCAATCAACCCAACTCCCGACTGCCAGCCAAGGCCAAGCATCTGCCTTACCCACTGCCTCAGCCTCCAGCTGCCAACAGTGCTCCCCTTGGCTATGCCCTGCTCACCATCTCAGCTCTCCGTGACAGTGTGATGAGGACTTTGAGCAGCAGTGAGAGCATCACCAGACTTGTCTGCCTCAGAAACCTGATAAAAATTGTCCGTTGGATCAAACTCCAGATATTCCAAATCAATGTAGGCCAGCTGCTATAAGAAACCCAGCAGTGAGTGACTGACAGAGCCAGCGGGGCTCCCCGCACCATGCATCCTCTGGTTCCAAGTGGCAGCTGAGGACAAGGGCACCAGGGCTATTTTCTGGTAACTCACAGTCAAAGGAAGGATGCAGGTGTCCTCTCTGACAGTGCCGAAGAAGGTGTTCTCCTGGTCCTGAGATTCAACGAACAGCTCATTCAAAACCTTCCTCAGCACCTGGGGGCTGGAGAACATCACGTCCCACATGGCCAGGGCAGTGCTGCAAGCCAGAGTGATCTGTCAGCAGGGCAGCCTTGGCCACAGCAGCATGGCCTTGGTCGGACCCACGTAACACAGACCCTGCCCTTTGGTTGGGATGCCCTAGGCAGCAGGAGAGGGCTGAGGTGGTGTTCCCTGCAGGGCTGGGAGAAGCCTGGTGGCGGGGCTCTGGGCTGGCTGGGCCAGCTTTGGCTGCTGCAGGCCTAGCCGACCCATCAGGGCTGGAAAGTGTGGTGGGATGGAGGGCCCTGCTCCTCAGGGGTGTCCCACAGTATTCCTTGGGTCTGGCAGCTAGAGAGTCTCCGAGCGCCTCTCCCTGCAGGGAGAAAGTCCTCATGGCTTTTGGGGCTAGTACCTGTCTTCTGATGGAGTGATCGTCAACAGTGTCATGACTGCCTCCCTAGGGCTCTTGTTAGCCATCAAGAGAAGCATTGACTCCACGCTCTGGCAGGCTGACTCCACGTTGATGCATTCCAGGTTTTTGTGGATGCAGCTCATGATCTTTGGCACCTGGATGGGACACAGGTGCGGATGGTGCTGCCACTGGAGTGCAGCCATTTCCCAGCTGCACTTCCCATCCCTCTCTGCTGCCTTAAGGCAGCTTCAGGTGTCCAGTACGTCTGGTTTTGGGAGGGAGGGGTGCAGAAGGAGAGAAAAACAGGCCTGAGAGAGCTGAAGGGCAGGGCAGTCCAGCCACAGGCCACTTACATCCACCAGTCAAAAGAAAGGGTCACTCATGAACACATCCATCATGCCACTGACCAGCAGCATTTCGTTGATGTTTATGTCTCACATTGAGTCAATTATTGTGAGGATGAAGTCAGGGTGTGTCATGACCGCTTCTACCAGACTAGTAGCTGTCTGCTTCTCAAAAGCGCTGGAGTCTCTCAGCACCTCGATCGCCACAAGGACAATGTCTGTCCTGTCAGAAGGATGGAGGTATTTTCCAGAGGTCTATGGGAAGAAGGAAAAAAGCAAAGACATGCCAGCTGGAGTGGCTGTTGTGCTTTCTCCTTGAGCATTTTACTGCCTAAACAGTGGGGGAAACAGAGGAGAGTCAATGAGACACAGCAGCTTTGCCAGCAAGCTTACCAAAGCACCCTGAGATCTGCTTGCAAGATGGCAGAACACAAGTGGTTGAGGAGATTTCTGGAGGGCGTCAGGAACAGCTTCTTGCTACAGGCACTGGAGGGAGCAGCCAGGGTTATGCACAAGCAGATGTGCTCTGCACTAACAAGGCAGACCTGGTTTGGGGGTATGGTAACCAGTGGTTTCTTTGGCTATGGGAACCACAAAACAGCAGGGCTCGAGGACCTGAGAGGAGGAGGGGAGCCAGGAGAGCAGCAGAGATCCTGGACTTCAGGAGAGCACACAGAGTCAAATGGCAGGTGGGATGCTACAGGAAGCAGCTAGAGGAGCAAAGGAGGTCAGGAAGAGAAGCAGACCTATCAGGAGATGTGTGTGTGC